TAAGGAAGAATTTCATGTGGGCTGAAACTGCAAATGAAATCTAGGAACAAGCAAAGTCTACATATTCAGAATTGCGACACTATGCCAAAATTTATCAACTGCAGGCAGCATCATCTACTTGTAGACAGGGGGAGAGGTGTTTCTCAGTTTATTACTCTGACTTGACCTCTGTCTGGAAAGAGTTGGATCACTACCAGAGTGTGGATTGGAAGTGTGATGAGGATGCCAAAAAGTACAAGCAACTTGTCTCCCAGCAGAGGGTGTTTGCATTCTTACATGGTTTGAATCCTATGTATGAATCTATCAGGGTTCAAATTCTCAGCTCTTGTACAGTCTGAAGAAAGCAGGAGAAATTTGATGAACAGCCCTGGTGGGGATGTTGTTGTGTTGGTAGCAAAAGGGGGTGTCTCTACTGGTGTGGGATCTTCCTCCAGGAAAAAAGATCTCCAGAAAAAAACAGAAGATAAGGACAAATTGTGGTGCACACATTGCTAGAAACCCCAACACACCAAAGATACCTATTGGGATCTTCATGGGAAACCAAAATGGGCTCAAGATCTGACTAAGAAGCAAGGTCCAGAGGTGAATAAGAGGTCCGGACAGCAAGGTACAAAGAGACATCACATGGCCAACATGGCTACTCGGGAGAATCAGCCCCCCATTTCTATTGTGACTCAAACACATCTCACTGGACCTGACCCGAGGGAGGATATTATGAATTCCTTCTGTGACCATTTAGAGCTCTATGGTAGAGCAATTCGTCAGATGGATGCTCCTCCCTCAACCTCATTTGCATCTACGTCAGGTAACCCTGCCACTGCTTTCCATGTTGCTTCTCACATGCCACTGCAAATTAGATTCTTGAATGGTGACCTTGAAGAGGAAGTTTACATGATTCAACCTCCTGGTTTTCTGGTTCAAGGCAATGAACAAAAAGTGTGCAAGTTGAAGAAGTCCTTGTACGGGCTAAAAAATTCACCAAGAGCTTGGTTCAGCAGATTCCATGTGGCAGTTCAGCAGAAAGGATACAGGCAATGTCAATCAGATCACACATTGTTTGTGAAAAGAGAAGGTAAAACTGTTGCTCTAATTGTATATGTGGATGACATAATTGTTACTGGTGACTGGGAGGATGAAATTCAGAGGTTGAAGTTTTTTCTTGCCACTCAGCTTGAAGTGAAGGATCTAGGATCTGCCAGGTACTTCCTTGGAATTAAAGTCGCCCGATCAAAGAAGGGTATCTTCATTTCTCAAAGGAAATATGTCCTAGATTTACTTCAGGACACTGGGAAGATGGGGGTGAAGCCAGTTGACTCTCCCATTGACCCCRACCATAAATTAGGTGACAGCCGTGGTGAACCTCTCACGGATGTGAAACAGTTTCAAAGGCTTGTAGGGAGATTGTTATACCTTTCTATGACTCGCCCAGACATTGCATATGTTGCTGGTGTCCTCAATTAGTTCATGCATGCTCCTAGGTCCTCCCATCTTGAAGCAGCAGAGAGAATCCTCCGATATCTAAAGAAGTATCCGGGTACTTGCTTGTTATTTCAAAAGCATGGATATTTGAAAGTTGAAGTTTATACAGATGCAAATTGGGTTGGATCCCAAAGTGACAGAAAGTCTACCAGTGGCTACTGCACCTTTATAGGAGGGAACCTTGTTACATGGATGAGTAAAAAGCAGAAGGTGGTGGCTAGATCTAGTGCTGAAGTTGAATATCGTGCTATGGCCCACAGGGTTGCTGAAGGCATGTGGATAAAGAATTTGTTGGGTGAGTTGGGTTTCCCAGTGGCCAAACCTATAACTCTATTCTGTGATAACAAAGCAGCTATAAGCATTGCTGCCAATCCGGTGCTACATGATAGAACAAAACACATCGAAGTTGACAAGCATTTTATCAGAGAGAAAGTTATCACAGGCGAAGTGTGTACYCCCTATGTCACTTCTGAGAACCAGCTTGCAAACATCTTTACAAAGGGTTTAAACCTTTCCAGACATCATGATCTTTGTGACAAGTTGGGCATGATTGATATCTATGCTCCAACTTGAGGGGGAGTGTTGACAATTGTTTTATGTACTCAGGTTTAGTACCACAAGGGTATTGTTGTAATTTCTCTCTTGTTTATATTGTACGACTGAGCCAGTATAAATAATAACTCTTACACTCGCCCCCTATATTCTGGAGGGCTTTCAGTCCACTCAACTCTCCTCTCTTCTCCTCTCATCTCTTGCTCTTGCTCAATAATGTTGATAGAATATGACAGTTTAGGCAGACAATAATGGGTTCAAATTAAACTTCTGACTTAGTTCACTTCTGGTCAAGAAAATAATGACAGTCAAAGACCAACTAAGATTTATTATTCACATCATCATTCAGGTTATGCTCCAAAATTTAGGGTATCTGAAATCACCACATCCTGAATTCTATCAGAATTTCTAACCAGTGAATTAGAATTACTGCAAAAGGACTCCAAGTCAAAATTCTTCAAGCTGGTCTTGTTTGCATATATCCACATTTCACTTTGAGGAGGATACTCAAGAAATTAACATTAGTAGAATATTGGTTTCTTAGAGTATTCAACATCTACTCCAGGTTTTTATTACGAAAAGGAAATTCATTGATAGAAAACCAAAAAATCATACTAACAACCAGACAATCAACAGAAAGACAAACCACTAAAACTATAAGTCATTCCATTAGGATGTGTTTTCCCCACCTTTTCTTTCAAACCAAACACAACCTTAAAGAAACAAGACTAGTGAGCCAAGGGGGGGAATCATGAAACTCCCCTTGATCCCACAGATCTCTACATCTACCTCATGAGCTACAATATTTCCTGAACAACAAACAGAAATGAACTTGAAAGACAGGTCCCTTAGCAAGAATAGAATGTCATTGATGCCCCAAAGCCGGGATGACTCAGCTGCTGCACTAAATGAAGACAACCTCTAGTTATTTCTATTATTATGTTGCACATTTCTTTGTTTGACAGAGTAAGTAGAAAAATATTTGATTTTGTGATCTTAACATTAAATATGTCAAATACGTATGCAATTGCATAGGTACCAAAGTTAAAATAAGCCATATCAATAACAAAGGAATGATCAACTTGGGGAAATAATGGTCAGGGAATGCCTGCTGCAGCACATACATAGAACATTATTCAAGTCACAACATTTCTAATATGAACAAAAATCTCATGCCAATAGAAGCACCTACTCTTTTAGACCATATACATAATTCTTTGCCTGAGCTCTAAAAGGAGGTCGTTCTTTTGCAGCATATGACTTAGGAACTTCATCATCTTGCTTTGTTAAAAATGGTGGGCAGCCTTCTATCATCTAGAGTACAGAACACAAGGCATTATTAGTTAGGTTTGTAAGTGCAAATGAGCCTTATCCAGAATATACGAACCTTAAAAACACAGCCAAGTTAACTAAAAAAAGAATACGAACAGCAATGTGGTCAATTACAGTGTATTAAGTTGAACTACTTCAGTGGCTTCTATACATTTAAAGTGACTCCTATACTAAACCTATTGTAAGAAACAAAAGCGAAGAATATTTTAATTAAGTAAAAAAGAGATCAAATGCAAATACAAATTTAGATAAAATGACATTTCCTCAGGCCCACACCTCTTTTGCATATAAACCCAACAAAGTTACCATTGATAGCATAGCTATCCACATAAAGTAAAAATTCTTGACTTGGCAATATTTCTTATTTATTTTCTTCCTTCTTTTGAAAAGTTGGCAGCATTTGAACCATGAAAATGAAAAGGCAGAAAATATTTGCACCAAACATTACGATTTGCAAAAGAGTAATACTACGGTGCCTCCACAAGCATCCAGTTCAAAGTCATTAGGAGAATGGTTATCCACAAAGACTCTCATAAGAATAATTTTGACTTTTATCATGATTGCCATTGGAGTTTGCCAGCAATCTTTATCTTACTTCCTGGACAAAAGCTGAGAGGGAAGTAGCAACAGATATGCAGGAAAATGCTTGGAATTAATAGTTTCTTTTTCAGTCACCCTGGAGTAGTTGGTTGTATCCCTTAAAGTGTTTTCCAGTCAACAATGTAAAGAGGTTTCTGACAAAACTTCAACCCTTGCATTCCATATTGAGCCAGCAAATTTCAAGAAATTTACTAGAGCTTATATCATATATCATTAGTGAAATAGACTCTAAAAGCTGTTTAAGGCATAAAATAAATGTTTTATTTTGTCATACAATTGGATAGAACTTGCAAGGTGTGCCTTTAGTTGTCTGCTACCCCTTTTTATTTTTGTCTAATAATTTTTTTACTGATGAAATACACCCTATCATATATTGTATGTGTTTGGAACCGTGGACGTTTATTGACTAAATGCTTTGTACTTGATTTGTTTGGAAAACCAAGAAAAGCAATGATGAACCCGTTTACTGACACTTAGGCACCATTAGATGCCACATCAGCAAAACAGTGAATAAATGCCTACCTGTTGGGGGAAGCGCTAAAATGAAGCTTCCCCCAACAGTAGGCACGCACATAAACCGAAGTCTACTTTTGCAAGTCCCTATGCGTATGGATTCACATAGTGGGGGAAAGGCTGAAGTGGTGCCTATGTGGCAGCGCTTATTCAATAAACGCCCACGGTTCCAAACACATGCAATTATGTAAGAATTTTATCCTTAGATGTAAAATACCCAATGATTTAAAGAAGAGAAGAATAAAGAGTTTTCTTCCTTTTTTCCCACAGTTCGTTCTCTTTGTGCTGCTTCTCAAAGGTATATCACAAACAGGTGCTCCATTCAACTGATTTGCAGCCCTATATTCAGTGAACGCAATTATCAAATTTTTTACATGCATTTTTCTTATAACTGATATTCATAGTCATCTAGGTGATTCTAGGAAATTGTGGGAAACAGAATCACCTAAAGGGAATGAGGTTCTTTCCACGGTCCACCACCCCTCATAAAAAAAGGCCACAGTAAATCCATTTGGCCTAGGTGCCTTATTCATTCCCATCATTGCTCTCTTTATTTCCTCTTCTGGAAAGGGTTCTTCTAGCTTCCTTATCTCTAATATAGACAGTCTATCCCAATGTAACCCTTCCACCTATTCTTTCTTTCTTTCTTCTTTCTTTTTTTTTTTTTTTGATCAGCAAGTAAAATTAATTTTATTAATAAGTGAGAAATCAAGTTACAGAATTACAATATGTTGCAAGATATCAATCAAGCCCAAAAAAAAGACTACAATAACACCCAAAACAACTGCTGCCTGTAGACTCCCTGCTTGGCTAATGAGTCAGCCATATCCCATTGCAGGATTTCTGATCCAAGAAAAAGTGACATTGAGTCACTTGCAAGGATTTCTACTTCCCTTAGGCTATGTCTATAAATCCAAGGAACATTACACCTTGTGGTAGTCCAAGAGATAACTAGTTTAGAGTCCCCTTCGACCTCCAAGTTTTGTAGGTTTGCTTGCTTAGCAAGTTTTAAACCTTGTAGCAGCGCTAACAGCTCAGCCTTTAGTAAATCTCCTACTCCTCAAAGACCTGAATACATTACCATCACTTTACTTGAGGAATCTCTAAACAAACCACCAATACATGCCAGTCCCAGGTTTCCTAAAGAGCTCCCATCAAAGTTCAGCTTGTTTTGTTGTTAGCTGGGGCTTCCATTCCATCACCTTTTTTTCTTTTACATTTGAAGAGTGTGTCACTTCATTTCACACTCTTATTATGTCAATCACCTAATAGCTTTGCAAGAGCTCTAATGTTTTTATCCAATGTACAACTTTTATCTTTATAGTTTTCACAATTACTTGGAAAATCTCTATCTTTCTTTTTCTTTTCTCAAAAATCTTGGTAAAACTTTGAAATGAAGAATAAATGATATTATAAAGTGAATTAACACACATTTATAAGATAGATATAATAAAGTTCTCGCCCTGAGATTCTTGTTGCCTAGGTAGGCACCTAGACGGGCACCTTGTTGCTATATGTCAAGGCTTTCAGGCACTGCACCCAACCAAGGGCCCCTTGTCACTTACACGATGCCTTGACAAGTGACAAGTATGCTGATGTCATAATTTATGTTGTCATAAATCAGAGAAAAGAATAGGGAGGTTCAGAAGTGTATCATCAGAATAACAAAAAATGATTGAACCCTATCATGTACCAATATATGTACTTTGATCAAACCAAAAAAAAAAAGTATTTATTCTGAAACAGCCCACATTGTTATAGTAGTTTTATTTTTAGCTTATTAAACTAGACAATGATAAATTCATTAAAACTCTAAGTTTTTTCATATTCCATTGTTTTTATGCTTCTAATAGATTAAATTATAAACATCAATCACTACAAATAGAAGTGAATCATTCAGATGGGTTAGTAGAGCTACAAACGGTTTGGCTGATGCTCTAGCCAAACAAAGGGTTAATAGGGAGCAGCTTTTTGGGCTTTTTTGATTGCTTGTTGAGGGTTGGGCTGGCTCAGTGGGAGCTATCAGTTGTACAATCTTCATGTATTATCTTCTTTTGAATTAATAAAAGTTGTTCTTTTTTTTGGGTATTCGGTGCTATGCACCATTAATAACTTCCCCCTGACCCCTTTTTCCCCAAAGTGCTGGTTGCGGGATTTGAAAATTAATAAAAGTTATTCCATGACTAATAAAAAATCACTACAAATACATAATTTTAATTTTTACTATAAGTTTTCTCATCAATTCATACAATAAGATTCATGATGGGAAAAATAAAATGTAAATCATTTTACAGAAATGAAATAATGAAACAATGATGCATTACAAATATTAAGAAATTCCCATGTTAGAAGATTCTCATTCGAAAATAACCCTTGAAAGTGAGAGAGAGAGAGAGAGAGAGAGAGAGAATGAGAGAGGAGGTGGAGGAGAAGAAGAAGAAGAAGAAGAAACCCTTACCTCTTGTAGAATTAAAGCAAATGAAAAGACATCCACCTTTGTGTCATATTCTTCATTTCTAAAAACTTCTGGAGCCACATACCGGCCTATTCATGAGAGACAAATACTTCAGAAACAGAAAAATATACACATATTCCTTAACTGAGCTGTCAATTTAAGAAAACTAGGATTAGAGAAAATGCCTAAAAATGAAATGTAGGCCCAGTGCCTTGTTCATTCTAATCGCCTCACAGAAGAAACTTCTTTCAAGTAAATAATGTTCTTATTTTCTATTTTCATGGTTGTAATGCTACTACCATGAGTATTAAGATCATATCCAACTTACACAAAATTTCTGTCTTTGTCATTCATTTTCCTTTCTTCAATGAATACATACATAAATTTATGTTTGAGCAGTTGAGCCCAAGTCCACAGCCAAACCTATGGGCAAGCTCACCTAAAATTTATGTATGTATGTAAATATTTATGGATGAGGGTGGGCCTTGGCGCAATGGTTGGGTTGCTCCATTGCAACTTCGGTGACCAGGGTTCAAATCTTGGAAACAGCCTCTCTGTGTGTGCAGGGGTAAGACTGTACATCTGTCCCTCCCCCAGACAGCGCATTGGCAGGAGCCCCGTGCACTGGGCTGCCCTTTTCATGTATGTATTCATGGACCTGTTCATTGGCCAGGTAGCCCAGCAAGCTTGCCCGTGGACTCGGGCTCAATTGCTCAAGCATAAATTTTAAGCCCGCAAGCTCAGCCTTGGGCTGTAAGTATGAGGCCTGATTACTTTTCAGGCTGAGCTCAGTATTTTGTAAATAAGCCCGGCCCAATAATATTATATATGATAAAAACATATATTAGTAAATAGTAATATATAATGAAATAATATATATATATATATATTAGCATGTAGCAATACATAATTATTATTACTAATACAATTATAATATTAGTAATATATAATAAAAACGTATATTAATAATATAACAAAATTTGCTTTTTCCTATTCAGACCAAGCTTCGGGCTTTATATAAGGGTCAAGCTCAGGCTCAAGATCCAGACCCGATGGTCGGGCTAGCAAGCTCGGGGTTCAAGCCTAGACCAATGCTTTAAAAGCACAAGACGCATAAAAAAAGAAAAATGCGCAAAGGGCATAATGTTCCTAAGGAGCAAGGCAAGTTAAATAAAAAATTCAAAAAATATGTAAACACTTTGCAAAAAATGTAAAAATAAATTAAAATAATATTAATTAAAAATACAACTTTAATTTTAAACTAAATATTTTAAAAAGCTTATCAACTCAAATTAAAGTACATGACCATAACATATAAAACATATTTAAAGTGAAAATGCAAACAATAAAATCAAATATAGGAAGCATACACATTGAAGTATGTCAAACTTTCAATTTCTTTATTTCTTTCCTAATTGCACTATTCCAAATAGATAATATTTCATTCCCAATTCTATGATCCACCCTTGTACCAAGCCCTTTGAAGCAAGCCCAAACCAATCCATGTTAGGGTCTTAAATTCTTAATCCCTACAAAAAAAATGGTTTTATAATTTTAGCTGCCTTATAGAAAATATCCTTTATTAGGAAGAATGAAAGAACAATATTAGCAAATAGGGGGTTCTTAAAGCTTCGATGAACAAGCGAACCGGAACGGAGTTACATTTCCTTTCTTCCATTGGCAGTGTCCCTATCCCTAAAAATGTGGCAGAAGCTCTCTTAGTACCTGAATGGACAAATGCAATGCAAGAAGAGATAAATGCCTTACATAAAAATGGTACGTGGGAGTTAGTGGATCTTCCTGAGGGTAAGGAATCGGTAGGGTGCAAGTGGGTGTTCACAGTGAAACACAACGTTGATGGCATAGTAGAAAGGTACAAGGCCAGGTTGGTGGCAAAAGGGTTTACCCAGGTATATGGAGTAGATTATGTAGAGACTTTTGCTCCAGTAGCTAAGATGAACTCCATTAGAGTTCTTTTCTTTCTTGTTGCAAATCTTGATTGGGATCTTCATCAGCTAGACATTAAAAATGCCTTCCTAAATGGAAACCTTGAGGAGGATGTGTACATGGTACAACCTCTTGGCTTTAGTGCCCATGGCAAAAAGCAAAAAGTGTGCAAGTTAAAGAAGTCCTTGTATGGTCTAAAACAATCACCAAGAGCTTGGTCCAGCAAGGTTTATCTGGCTCTGTAGCAGATTGGCTACAAACAGTGTCAAACTGACCATACACTATTTGTGAAAAGGAGGGAAGGAAAGATTGCAGCCTTGATAGTGTATGTTGATGACATAGTGATCACAGGTGACTAGAAAGTTGAAATTCATAAGCTAAAGGATCTCTTAGCCACTCAATTTGAGGTGAAGGATCTAAGTCCCCAACGGTATTTCCTTGGAATTGAAGTGGCCCGCTCATAAAAGAGGATCTTTATTTCTCAAAGGAAATACATCCTAGATCTGTTATAGGATTCAGGAAAACTAGGGGGGTTAAGCCATCTGACTCTCCCATTGATCCAAATCACAGATTGGGTGACTGTTGTGGTGAGGTTATCAAGGATGTAAAGCAATTCGAAAGACCTATGGGAAGGCTCATGTATTTGTCCATGACCCGGCCAGACATTGCTTATGTTGTAGGTGTTCTTAGTCAGTTCATGCATGCTCCTAAGACCACACACTTAGAGGTAGCCGAGAGAATCCTCTGATATCTAAAGAAGTTTCCAGGAGCTGGTTTGCTATTCCAAAAGAATGGGCATTTGAAGATTGAAGTGTATACAGATGTTGATTGGGCTTGGACCAATTGATGACAAAAAGTCCACTAGTGGGTATTGTACTTTTGTGGGGGGAAACCTAGTCACATGGAGAAGCAAGAAACAAAGTGTGGTGGCTAGGTCTAGTGCTGAAGCTGAGTATAGAGCAATGTCCCATGGAGTGGCTGAAGCCATGTGGATAAAGAATTTGTTGAGCGAATTGGGTTTTCCAATTGATAACCCCATGTCCTTGTATTGTGAATTTAGGGGTGACAACGAGCCGAGCTTTTCACGAGCTGCTCCAGCTCGGCTCGGCTCGATTTCAATCAAGCTCGAGCCCAATTCAGTGGCTCGATTATTAAACAAGTCGAGCTCAAGCCTACTATAGCTCGGCTCGTGAGGCTCACGAGTCAGCTCGAATATATATATATATATATATATAATAAAAATATTATAACTATTAATTATTATAATTCTTACTTTTTTAATATAAAATAAAAAAAAATTATATATAATTTTTTTATAAAATATTTTTTCTCAAAATCGAGCTCGAGCTTATGCAATTTTTACTCAAGCCGAGCTTGAGCTCAAGGTTCTAGCTCGAACCGAGCTCAAGCTCTAGCCTTGTAGAACAGTCTCGAACCGAGCTTAAGCCTGGTACTATTCGGCTCGGCTCGGCTCGAATCCACCCCTAATTGTGATAACAAGGCTGCCATCAACATTGTAGCCAACCTAGTTCTTCATGATAAAACTAAACATATTGACGTTGACAAACACTTTATCAGAGAGAAAATTGTTAATGGGGAAGTGTGCACCCCATATGTTAGTTCTACTAAGCAACTTGCAAATGTATTTACAAAAGGCTTGCATCACTCGCAACATGATGGCTTACTTTAGTTTAGTGTCGCAAGGGCACATATGTAATTTTATATTGTTTTATTATTTGAGTGGTCACCCTAATAGAAATATCAAAAAGGTTGGCCCCGCCAGCTAAGGTTTTTCTCTCCAAAACCATTTTTCCCATTTCTCTCTTCTCTCTTCTCCCTCCTCTTCTCTCACTATTCTGAGATCTTGTTGCGTGTTTACCAAGAAAACAGGAATCAAGTTGCTATCTCCCATATTCAATTTGTTGATGATATAATCTTATTCTGTGAAGGTGAAGATCCATCAATAATAAGGAATTTGAAGGAGTTAATTGATAGTTTTGAGTACTTTCTCTAGCCTAAGGGTGAATTGGAGGAAAAGTGGTTTGGCTAGTGTCAACTAGAAGGAAGGGGAAGTCCTTAGTTTTGTTGGGGTATTGGGATGTGAGGTTAGGAACTGGCCCTTAGACTACCTAGGCCAACCACTTGGAGGAAACCATAGGGTAGAAGATTTTTGGAAGCCAGTGGGGGAGATTGGAGAGGATTGCAAAGAAGCAAGCTTTATGGAAAAGAAATTATACCTCCCTAGGAGGTAGAATAACCCAAAGCAAATCAACTTTGCCAAACTTTCCCATCTACTTTTTGTACACTTTTTGGATTCCAACTAGAATTGCAAGGCATATTGAGAAGTACATGAGGGATTTTTTGTGGGACCCAGGAGAAGGAAAAAAGATTCATCTAGCCAAGTGGGGATAAGTTTGTAAATCCAAGGAAAAAAGGCATCATAGGTTTAGGGAATTTAACCCTCAAAAATATGGCATTTCTAGCTAAATGGTTATGGAGATTCCCATTCGAAAGAGATAAGTTGTGGCACAAGGTAATTGAAAGCATTCACAAGGTTGCAGAAAATGGTCAGGATGCTAATGTAGCCTCCTTTGCAACCTCAGCCTCTCCTTGGAAAGCCATTCATGAGGTATACCCAACTTTTCTTTAACTTCATTCACCTTGATGCGGGAAAGGGGAACAAAATCTGGTTTTGGGAAGACCATTGGGTAGGGGAAACAACACTTAAAACACAATATCTTAAGCGATTTTCCCTCTCAACTCTTAAAGGTGAATTTGCCTCCAGGTTGGGAAGACCTTCTTACCAAGGCCTAAGCTGGGATTTAGGTTTCAGAAGAGGCCTTAAGGATAATGAATGTTCTCGTATTAATCTACTTGGACTCTTGGATACAGTTTTTTTGGATGATAACCTCAAGGATACTAGAGTTTGGTCAACCTCCCCTAATGGTCTTTTAACTTGTTCTTTTTTTTAGAGCCCTCACTTTGCCTACATCAGTAGGTGTAGATTTTCCCAATGAAAAAGATTTGGTATAAGTCTGTTACACCTAAAATTCAAGCCTTCTCTTGAAAAATTTTCCTTGGTAAGATTAATACTTGTAATATGCTGCAAAAAAGAAGGCCCAATTGTTGCCTCTCTCCTCAT